ACCAGGACTCCACTGCCCTCTCTGCAGAGCATTTACCACCGCAGGGTGCATAGGAAAGCTGCCTCCATCCTCAAAGATCCCACCCACCCCCAGCACGGACTGTTCACTTCTCTGCCCTTCTAGTGGTCCTGTTAAATGCAGGACCACTAGACTGAAAAACTCTTTCTTTCCCTCTGCCTTCAGACTCCTAAACAGCTGAGGAGTTTATTACCAGGAAATACGTGATGTACTGTTTACATTCTCAGTTTGTACATTGACTGTTGACTGCTGCACATGCTGCTCCCATACAGCATACATTCTCTATTATATTCTTATATATTTTTTATTATATTGTTGCATTTGCTGCTTAAAGTGCCTTAGATTTAGTGTTACTTATTTATCTACTTTATATTTCATTTGTATTTTGTGGCCTTCATGTGGATGGCAAAGTAAGAATTTCATTGTACAGGGAAACATGTTTTCCCACTGTGCATATGACAAAGAAACAATTTGACTTTGACTTGAACAGGCCTCAGCATGTTACATCAGCAGCATCCGCCAGCCTCTAGCCTCCATCTGTATGAGGGCTTGGAGCAGCCACATGAAAACAAAGCCCTGCGGTGCCTGGACAGGAGCTCCTGCAAGCCTGGCTGACTGCACAGGGCTTCACTTTAGGTCTCACTGAATACCCTTACTGTTGCACCCTGTCCTGCTATATATGTATTTATAATCACATGCTGTGGGTTACAAACGTAAACCTGGCTATTCTTATTTCTTGTGAGGACAATAAATGCAGGCCTGTGTGTATCTGATGAGCTAGACAGGCTGCTAATAACTGTGGGGTTGGCACAAATCTGATGTGCTCATCCTGGGTTTTGACTCAGAGTGAAGCAATGTGTTATTGTGTTGCAAGAGGGCTGCGGGTGCGACTGTGAGCCACCGGTGAATTCTATAAACAGATGCTGTGCCTGTCCTGACCAATCATACTGAAACGTTAAGGCAAGCCAAGAGTTTCACAAGATTCAATTTAATTAAAGCCAATATAATGAGACTGGAGGAGACGTGAGATATAACAGTCCTGGAAGGCTCAAATGGGTGCGAGTGTATGTGGGTGTGCACGTGAATACTGTGAATGTGAACCGGTGCGTGTGCATCCTTAAAAAAAAAAAAACCCTGTGTGTGTGTGTGTGTCCTTATCTTACATCTACCTGACTTTGTTGAGCACTCAAACAACACCGGATAATGAATGTGTGTTTTCAAAATGTCTGGTGGTTTGGAGACGGTGCTGCGTTCGTCTCTGTCTGGAATAAGGCATATTTATGTGAGAATTAATAGGCAGAATTCTTTAAAATACTCAGATGTAAAATGCCTTCTTCTAATAAAGCTTTTGAGGCTGTGGCGAGGGATGCGTCTCTGTTCCCAAGACAGATTTGTGAGTGCTACATGGTAATAAATTTCAAATCTGTTTTTATGCCAGTTACATTCATAGGGATCATTTCTGATATACTGTATCCAGTGAAAACTATGCTCATGAATACTCAAATTTAGTGTTCCTCTTTAAGGCTGTCTTCAAGCAGATGCCCTAGGATCCTTTGCGACTTTTACAGCTGTATTATTGAGAGCAACTTGACCAGCTGCATCACGGTCTGGTACGGCAGGACTACTGCTATGGGCTGGCAGC